GTGTGTGTGTGTGTGTGGGGTCTGTCCGTTTGCCCCTTGCCTTGGCACTGCCATTGATTTCTTCCTGCTGTAACTTCCTGCCTGAGCCGATGTAGTGTTTCCAGTGGCAACACTCACACTGCAACCATCACTTTAGAGCCCTCCCACATCCCTCTTTTTCTCTTTCCAACTTTGCTCCATCCATCTGTCTATCCATCCATCCATCCATCTATCCATTCAGGACTGCCAGACCACAGCCCGTCTCATTCATTAATCATCAGCAATGAGAAGGAACAAGGGAGCAGTCAGGGTAGAGAGAGGAAACAGAGAAAGGTGGCAGGAATGACAAGTTCAGGAGATTGGAGGATATAGATGAAATTTGAACCTCCAGAAAATCAAAAAACTAATACCGAGATAATCCCGGTGATCAAAATTCTGTCTACTTGTTTTTCAGATCCCGTTCTCGCTGGTGCAGTTTCCACTCTGGGAATATTTAAAGGTATGTATCAGATCCTCCCATAAATGTTTGTCTAACTGACTTAATTCCCTTTCTGTCTTTATTATCCATCTATTTTATCCCCTCTCATTCCTCCACTCTCCACCATTCCTCAGCACCATTATTTACAGTAATTATTCTCAGTGATAAATCCGTAGTAAAGTTATAATAGTGTGCTTACGCTCTGACACATTTACAGCGAGCTCACCCTCTACATTCCCCTGTATCATTGTGGCAGGCAAAAATGGGACCCGGTTTAATGGGCTGTCACGACTGCCATCAAACCAGCCTTCAATTTATCCAGTCCTGTATACCTATCTCTTTCTATCTCTCTTCCTCTCTTTTCTGAATATATTTTTCTCTCCCATGTCTCTCTCCCTCTCTCTCTCCTCTCTCCTCGCCTTCTCTCTCTTTTCATTGTGTGGCCCTGAACACATAAAAAGTCGTTTCTCTTTGAAAAGACGACATTTTGTTGAAGTGACATCATGTCTCAAGGGCACGAGAGGCGGACAGTCAAAAATTCCATCAATGTTAGAAGCTAACGGCCGAGCTAAGACGAACAATACACTGCACAGCTGTGTGTGTGTACGTATATGTGTGTGTCTGTGCATTTGTGAGAGTTAGATTTTGTCTTTCACAAGTGTCTCTTTGTCCCTCTGTCAAAAGCACTCTCTCTCTCCAGGCCATCTGGACATGTCCGTTGGCGGAGAGTTGAGCTGCTGGAATCTGGACCTCTCCTCTCCTCTCCACTTTCTCCTTGTCCTCTTCTCCATCCATTGGCTCCCTTCACCCAGTCCTCCCAGATGTAGCCTCCGTATTAACATGGTGCTCTGAATAGCTAATGAGGCGTTTCCTCAGTTACAATGGCAGAGACTAGCTGACTAGTCATGGAAAGAGAAGAAAAAGCAACTACTTGCAACAGGTTTTTTTTTTTTTTTTTTTCTTTAACTGCCATTCCTTTAGAGTGACCACCAAGATGTTCAGAGGCTTTCATAAACAGTAATAGCATGATTTAGTTCGAAAAAAGGCCAGAGTGAAGGAATTTGAGAGAGTGAATGTGTGTGGCATGATCTCCCATCTGCTTTGTGGGATAGTAATGTGCTGCGTTATAGCCTTTTTCTTTTTGCTTCACACCGAGCCAGCACAGCTGTCAGTGAGAAAATCAGAGAGAGGAAAAGGGAGAAAACCAACCGACTGCTATAAGCCTGTTGGAGTTAAGTAAGAAGAGTGCATTAAGTTCAACTGGGATATCACACATAGGCATATTCCAAGCAGGAAAAGTCAGGACATTTTCTAAACTCAAGTCACAGGATCTGAAGGAATTTTACACATCGGTCACTGCATAGAAATTTAACGACTTTTTGTCACACCAGACATGTGAATAATTCTCACTGTTCTTTCACACGTTAATTTCACAATACTGTGGTTTTCACTCAGTTGTTTTTCCCAACATCAACTGTAGAATAGGGCTCACAGTTTACCCCATCTGTTCTGACCTCAAAAACAACATTAGCAAAACAGGAGGGTGTAACACTTTTTAGGTTATGATTGAACACCAAGAAAGAGCCACAAAAACTTCAAGGAATTTTGCGTCACAGGCATGCTGGGAACTTACATTGAAACCAATGAGACGCACTTACAGATGCAGTCTCCCCACACATACTTGCACGCAAAAATACAAACACATACGCGTCGTCCCGACACACTCACGTGCACTCGGAGCCACCACCTCTTTCCTGTGGGAAGTCGTCCAGGTGCAAACTCTGATCCTGACACAAGGGTTCACAGGTCAAAAAGTTTGTTTTCCCAGGTTTACCCCTTATGATTTATTCATGAAACAAAGAAGGAAGGGATGGGGAGACTGAGATGGGGAGAGAGACAGAGGAATCCCCCAGCATGAGGCCTTTGATGTGGAAAACAAAATCTCCTTTTTAATCTGCCCTATAATAGAGTACACATGACACATCCTGAGCCAGTACGCACTGTCTGCCAGTTCTTCTCCTTTCTGTCTTTTTCTGAGTATTTACTTGTTTGTGTTTGCATGTGTTGTGCACACACACATGGTTTGTGTGATGTCCACATATGTCTGCGATAGGAGGAGAATGAGATAACGTGCAACAGATTAAACTCGCAGGGGGGTGGACAAAGAAAATATTAGTAATCGCTCCATGCTGTTGCTCAATTGCTCTCCCTGAGAAGTAATCATACCTTGCAGCGCCCAAGGCAGTCCAGCTGTCCACATGCATTTTATACAAAGACTAACCTCGTGTAGTCAGTCTCCTCATCGCTCTGCTGAAACGAGTCGGGGGAGAAAAAGAGACGAAGAGTTCATTCTCATAACAAAAACATCAGGTGGTTTCACTCAGTAGCCACTTGCAATCTGGGCAAGCAGTCCTGTGATGTGGGGGTTTTCAGACACAGAGAGTGCTTGTAAAATGCACTGGACTAATTCATTTTACTTTACAACTTAATTCATTAGCTGTATACAGTAATTAGCTTTGTTTTCAAGTGAATATCTTCAGTGTAGCTTTACCTGTAGAACCTGTAAAGATGTGTAATTTCTTGTTCAATACACAAAACAGTGAATTGTCCAAACACTATAATTATTAAGATGTAATTTGGATTTAGGTAATTACTAAGTGAATTGTGAAATTTCAGAATACATATATATATGCAATTACATGATGCATTTTTAGCAAAAATCAATGCATCAAAAAGATTTTATTCCATATATTGCCAATGAAAGCCATTACTTTATTATCAGTGTTATTTGATTGTTTTAAAAAATAAAATGATATATCTGTCAGTCCTCAAATATAGATTTGAGATGGTTCTATCACTTTTAAGAGAATTTCACAAGCTGCGGTCTCAATCATTTGATGGTTCACAACACAAATATAATCTTTTTTTTTAATTGTAATGATGTAATTTTTTAGCAAGGCTTTAAAATTAATGCATGGAATCTTTTTATTATACATTTAACATCTAGAAAGCTGCAATTAGTCAACATAAAGACATTGACCAACAGCACTTTTGTTCTTACTATAGCGCACCTCACACTGAAATGCATATTTCTAAACCTAAAAGAAAAATTGAATTGGAGCACTAAACATGCATAACAGGATGCTACTGTATGTACATGTTTTGTTGCAATTCAAATCTTTTCTTCTTTTGTCTGTAGGAACAGAACCTCGGCAGTCACAACGTCATTTGAGTTTGAGATATTCATATGACTGTACTAATTTGTATATTGGGGTGCTTCAGTAGATAAATATACACAGATACAATATTGCTAACGTATTGTACTTCAATATGATGGCATCATAGACAAAATGTGTAAAGCTGTAGCCTGATAGAGTGGGAGCGCTACAGCATATCCTCTTGCCTCCCTCTTGTCCCGTCCCAGTTCTTGGGAAACAAGTAGCATGACATCACTGGGGAGAAAAAGCAACACAAAAATAGCCGGACAGCCCGGTTCCCAGCCGTGGGCCTGGACCCCAGACCGGACCAAGGTTCACAATGTGTTTTCAATGTGTCTGATATCTCCACTAACTACAATCTCCTCTCTCTTTGTCTCCCCTCCTTCTTTCTCCCTTTTTCTCGCTCTTTCATCATCCCCCTCTATCGACAACCCCCTCTTTCCCTCTCCACATTTCTCTCTCTTTCTCCCAGACTCTGTGGTCGTTGAGGCAAGGTCACACGCTCTACTCTTGGCAAGCTGCAGTGTGCGGAGCTTTTGCAGGTGCAGGGGATTATTTGCTGCTTTGGGAAAGAGGCGGAGAGGGAGAAGGGGAGGGAGAGAGAGGGGGTGGACGAAGGAAGGGGAGGGATGGATGGCTAGAATCGATGGATAGATGAATGGATGGATGGATGGATGGTTGAATAGATGGCTAGGAGGGCAGGACAAGTTTTACCCAAAGCCACATTCTTATAAGATTCCACAAAGGTGAGCTCAGCTGGCAAATCACATCCTCACCTGGACAGCAGATCAGAGAAGAAAAGAAAAAGTATGGTTGAAAGGAAACGAGAACAGGCTATTACAGCCTTTTTCTCAAACATTGCTTTTCTATAGTGTTAAATTAGCAATCCTCAATACAGCGGATTCTGCATTGTTGTTGTGTTAAGGTCTTTTTATGAGACTTCTCAAGCCCTTCAGCCAGTGGAAATAATACTAGACTAGAAGTAAGACTTCTATGGTTCTAGCCTGGATGAGTATCAGGGGAGAGACACACAACCAAGGCAGGAGAGAGCAGGGATGAGAGGGGGCCGGTTCCTGGGTATGGGCCCCTGCAGCTGTGCGACCTCCTGAGCACTGGGGCCTGAAGTGGTTTAAAAGAGAGCGAGAGAGAGATAGAGAGAGGCACAGGAAAGGAGTGAAAGAGGGGAAGGGGAGTGGACTGAAAACAAGAAAAATAGGGGAAAGGAAAGCATCTAGAGAAAATGAAATCAGACTATAAACCACTACTGGAGATAAATACTAGATAGAGGCTAGACGCTTGAGTCAAAGAGATTCAGTGTTTGTCAGTTTAAAAGTTTGCTGAATTTGAGCACAGTTCTGTCCATTAACACTATTATTCATAACTCTTTTATACAAATATTAGCAGTATTTACAAGACATAAAAAGCTTTTTTTTAATGCTGTATGGTCCCAATAATGTTTCTGGAATCAGCCTGTAAGATTAGACAAGCTAATGTTCAGGACATCTATTACGTAAGTTTAATCATAAACATAATTCAGTCCATCAATGCCGATCATCCACTCCATACAGAGTTTGACCTACTTTAAGTTTTTATTTTACTTTAGATGCATTAACAACAAAAAAAGGCTACTCCCAGTAAAAATGTGCATTTCTAGAAATCTTTATTCTTCTTTATTATGCATGGAACTGTCTTTTTTTGATTTTCTACATACTTTGACATAATATGCCTAATTAGACGTCTTTGAGAACAGTAGAGGTGTGTACAGACTGAGCCTAATCACAGAATTAGTAAAAACATCTGTATGGATGTGCAGCACATGTTCAATAAAATCTAATCTCTTTTTAGCTGGGTTTATTTGATATTTTGCACAAACAATGTTTTATAACTTATTTTATATGAAACTGGATGCTTGTTTGTGCTTCGTGATCTTGTTTAATGCCTTCTAGAAATTAAGTTTTCCTGCATAAAGACTGGCAAGGAAAGGCACATTAGAAATAAAAATATAAATCCAGTTGCATATAGCATGTACCTCCTGTGTCACATCATCTATCTTTCCACTCAGTTTTCACCTTTCTTGCGATGAAAAAGCAGAACCGCAATCAAAATACATATTTCAGTATAACAGTCCCGCAGACCGGGCCATATTGGACGGTTGCAGCTTTCAGTCCATAACTCTTGCAACGCTACAATGAGCCAGACAGGACAGGAAGATTGAGGTTAGCTGCTCCAGGGGTTATGGAGAGATGGAGATGGAGGTGAAGGAGAGAAGAGGGGATGAGGAAACAGCACCCCGAGGAGCTGAGACGTGGCCCTGCGCCACCCCACCTGGACTCAGTCCACGCTGGGAAGAAAAGGGACGAAGAGGGAAAGAAATCAGAATAGAATAAGAGAAAGACTGGACTAGAAGATATGCAGATCCAAATACATAAAATACTCACATAGCTTGAACCTTTTGTAAAGCTAGTGAAGATTTAACTCTTTATGAAAGTATAACTGTAAATACATAAGGATGTGACATAATTGTTAATAGGTATATTTAGATTGAAAAACATGAAATTGGGATGATAGAGGGCAATCTGAGCCAAAAGGAGCAGAGAAGGGAAAATGGGCAATGGGGTAGTAAGGGGGCGGGAGTATGGTGGGGCGTGTGTCCAGGGTAGGAATCAAGTTCACATCCCTCTGCGACCAAGCTGCTGTCCAAGAGGGATCCTCAAGTTTCAGTCACTTCCCCTTACATCGCTCTTCACACTCTCTCTTTCACTCATACATAATCTGCTTGACAGTGGAAATGCTCACACAGGCGCGTTTAATCATCAAATCCAAATATCTCTACTCGCACCCTGCGTTGACTTACGACGGACTTGACCCTGTTTGAACCACCTCGAAAAAAAACTGCCCAGCCCGAGACAAGATTACATCACCGTCTGATTCGGGTCTAACCTTCATCACATCACATGGTTCTTCCAGCCAAATTTAGATCCTCCAATTCAGCGCTCCATGTGTAAGATTTATGTGGATAATGCATCCCTTTATTGCTCTCTAAGAATATTACAAAACAGGGTACAGTATGAGGGCTGTGTCTTTTTATCCTTGCTGAAGTTTTATCCACCCAAATAAAGGGGAAAAAAATCATTCAAATCCACTCTTATAATCAGCCAGCATTAACTAGTAAAATGTAACGGTGTGTTACACCACACTGATCCTAATGTTTTCCTGTATCCTCAGCTCACTTACAGTCACATTGCTCCTCGGTGGCCCATATGGATATGTTTACTGAGAACAGTTGCTATGTTTGTGGCAGAGTGACACACACACACACACACACACACACACACACACACAGTTTCTCACTTAGACACACACCGCTGCTCACTAGGGGACACCGCTGGATCACTCCGCCCTTCCAGCTTCCAACTTGGAGGGAAGTTGGGGTGTAACTGCTCTATAAAATTCGTAGGAAGAAGAGTGTGTGTGTGTGTG